CATAAAAAATGAAGTCAAATGGACACAAAACTTTCTACATTTTCCATAGAAAATTTTACCAATCAAACACAATTAATTACCATTCCCAGTAAAACATTTTCTAGGAAAATCAATTCCCTGTAAAACATTTTCTTTCCACCCATTTTCCAACTTTGCAATCAAACGGACCCTTATTGTGTTTTTATCCTAAATGCATGAACAAAGATGTTAAATGAGTGAGGAAGAATTGTGTATCATTTTATAGGTGATGGCCTTCCATGTAAAGGAAAAGCATAGGAAGAAAAAAACGGTGGACAATATCACTAGTAAAGACAAAAAGTCTTGAAAGAGAACAAGACAGAGTTCAGAATTGGATGGTAATTTTATCTTTAGTTTGTCTTTTTATCTTTAGGAAAATTTGTGTGGGCTTAATTGGGCCTATGTGGTTCTCTTAACACATATGGGCCGGTGCATTTCTATTTGATTATTATCCATTCCTATTTGTTGCTTAAGTGGCACTCACTTATTGGTAGCATTAGGATGATCCAGATTGTGTGTTTGTTTAGAATCATTTGTGGCCCTTGGATCTGATCCACGGTTGAGATTAATTCTTGCCTTTTGATATTACTTGGCTTTGACAGTTTGATCGGCTCTTCCTTCCTTTCTCTCCCAGTTTTGCTTACTGCCCGTTCTCTCTGGAAAATCGACTTCTTCTTCCTCCTTTGCTCTCACCAAAAATGGATCTTGGTAGCCTATTGTTGAGGGAATACCTGTGTGATGCTCGGACCTGAAATAGGGTGGAGTTATTTGGTTTATTCTCGAGGGTTAGGTCAGATTTTTTGGGGTTCTTGGCTATTTTGGTAGATTCCTTCGAATCAGTGACCTTACCAAGTTGTTGGAGACATTGGTTGGTTCTAAACTCTCTCTGGAAGGCGTTTTTGCATAACATGGAAACTGTTCCTGAGCCTAAGTCATTCGGCCGAAATGAACCACCGAAAAGGGAAGTGAAGCTCTAATGTTTCTGTCCATTTTTAATGTTCTGGCTTTCGATTTCTGCAGTATATATATATATAGTTGTAGTCATCTCTTCAGTTGGTTAGTATTCTGCTGATTTGGTATATTTGTAAATGCTATTGGAATATGTTGATTATTATTGTATTATGATTTCTGGAGTATGCTGAATTTCTGGTATTGAGTATGAACTCTGTCATTGTTATATATTGAGCTGTTGAATTGGTCAGCCTATGTTTTGAGCCTATATTATGCTGTAGATTTTCCCAACAATTTGCTCTTTTTCTCCCCATCTTTATCAAATGTAACAAATTTATACTTGAAATTTTTTTTAGCACAATTCTTCCCAACTTTTCATTATGTAGCAAAACTAATCATTTCCTCCATTTTGACCATTAAACGACAAATTCACCATTCTCTTTAAATAAGTAAACATAAAAGAAATCAATTAAAAAAAACAAATAAATCACACTTAAAACAATTAAATACATATTAACCAAAAAAATAAAGAATTTATCATCAACTAAGCTCACCCTCCCTGATAACACCCACCCCATGTCCCCACCAATCCTAGTCCACCTCCACTAGCGACCAAACATCACCCCACAAATGCATGAGAAGGTGGTTCTGCGATTTAGGCTTTCAAATTTTTATCCAGTCATCTTTAATTTTTTTTATTTTTTATTTTTCAAGTAATTGTCAATAAGCTTGGGAATATCAATACTATAGGAGATAAAAATGAATCATACCATGAGAAGACAAAGTCCACTTCCAACTTCTGAGTGCACACAGTCCCTCTGAGGTTTTCTTCGCTGAAATTTTCGAATCTTTTTTATCAATAATGGTTATTCGAAGAATGTTTCTCATATAAATGCAATGCTCCTTGAAATATTATTCTATAAGGCAATCAGAACAAGTGTCCAGTTTTGTCATTCTCTCAAGACAAGTTCATTATGAGCTGGAAAATTCCCGTCAAATATTCTCCGCCTTGCTTCCATTGCCTGCAGTATCCGCACAAAATAATCTAGTCATTAGCGTAATTAATTTTTCTAGCTAAAAATTTTATGTTCTTAACCACAACTTTGCTCAAGAAAGATGCAAACTTAGCCCATTTTATCCCAAGTGCATTGGACATTACGATTAACAAAATTGTAACCTTTTATTTTTTGGGTGATGCTACACGTACATAATGGGGTGTCCATAATGATATCCACCTCCTCACATGAAGGGGAACCCACTTCAAATAAAATAAAATATATCCAAAGTGGGTACTCCTCCATGTGAGGGGGTGGACGCTATTATGGACACGACATTATGTACAAGTAGCATATTCCTTATTTTTTTAGTACTATTCAGTTCTGACTAATCCGTTTTATAAAACTTGCAACAATAAATGTGTCCAGAAGCCCAAAAGAGTAGCGACGACAGAAAAAAAAAATAATTAATTAATTAGAAGAAGGGACATTTGAATGGGAACCTGCTTTTCCCAATTTGTGAGATATTTATAAGGGCAAGAAAGAAAGCTTGCACTGTTGCTCCAGCCACCAATCCACTCCAGAGGCCTTCCCCTTTCAAGTGCAAAACAAATCCTAGGAGTAACGTCATGGGAATTCCAACAATGTAATATGCTCCAAGATTGACATAGGCCCCGATATTCTGCCACCCGCAACCTCTAGCTACTCCTGCAGCAAACAAGAAATGACTTGACTGATGAGAAGACTCGATTTGCTATAAAGGAAAATTGTCTTGTTCTTTTGTACTTGATATAGTAGAGATATATCGGGAATTTTCCAAGCTACTATCGCAGATTCACACTAAAAAATTTCGATTTAAATAAAGAGACATGGGAAGATTACCAGAAAGAACTGCTTGTAAGCTGTCCATGATGATGGAGACGCAAAGAAAAGGAGTCATATCTTTGGCATAATTCACGATATCCATTTCATTGCTCAATGCATATCCTAATATATAATGGCAAAAAGAGTATAATAGTGCTTGCTATAACAAACTCTGAGACCGACGGAACCAGCACGGCAAAGACAGCAACTCGAGCTGCCCGTGTTTTCCCCGCTCCAAGTTCATTCAATACACGAGTGCTACAAGAAAATATTAATAATCTAGTTATGGTCTAGATACAAATCATACAGTAGTTATGCCAGATTAAAGAGATTAAGATCAAACCTTGCAGCACCAAAAGAATATTGCAGCAAATAGTGCAGGGAAGTAATTGTCAAGCTGCCCATATAGAAAAGTAAACTCCAAATTAAACATACACTGATATCTGTGTAACATCAAGAATATGTTTTGGTACTGGACAATATAATTGACAATATCTAGCTTCAATAACGTTCAATACTGTCCAATCTGCCTTAAAAACGTGCCTAAAATGTACAGGAAATAGGCATGCCATATGGATAGCACGGACGTCTCCAGCTATGGATTTGGCAACAGTCCACCAAGCAGTATCACTACCTCAAATGACCACCACTCTAAGCTACACATTTGAATTGTGAAATAACAGAAACTTAGAAAAGCTCATGAGACTAAAAGGTAAAAAGAGTAAAATGGTCTGCCCGTTTAAAAGTTAAAGATGACAGATATTACCAAACCATCACAGCAGAGGATTGCGTATTCAAAGAATTTCCCCATAGTTAGGAAAACATCCTTCGACAATGAAGCCCGGGTTTTCTTGCACACTGAAGAATATTTCACCTAAAGACCAAGGAAGATTACATTCACCATATACGAAAAACAAATAGCAAGGCATGCTCCAGCATTTCCTAGCTTTAGCTTGAATATTAGATCCCAGTAAATAGGTAAATGGAAGCATACAGATGCAAGCTAACTCAGTAACATTGGAAGAATCAAACTCTGAATCTGCAAGTAGCGAACCAGAGACTGAAGAATAGCATGGGGAACAGTTTAGGGATGAGCCACATTGAGAATCTGCCAGCTTCGACTGAGATTAAAGGGTCTTGGCCAATCAATATCAATATCTTGTCGTAAATATCTATTAACAACAATATTGCTAAACACCCAAGAGACATTATAGAACCATAATAAATTTCCAACTCCTTGATATTGCTCTGCTCCGTATGCCTGTCCACACAGAGTTTCCAAAGCACCAGATATACCAAACTGCATGGAAGATTTGTGATCTGAGCATACAAAGAACTAGCTTTTGCATTGTACATTGAATGCCTTAAATCATGGCATATGGAAAGCTAATCAAATGAACGACTTGCAGCAATCATGAGCAGAATCAAAATTCGAGACAAGAAGGAAGGACCTTACAACGACACTGAATCCAGTAACATTTGTAAAAGTAGCTGCAATAGAGGCACTGGATAATTCAAGTTCCCCTAGATGCCCCAACATCATCATCGCTACAACCCGAACAGGTGCTGATAAAATATCACCACTATCATTGGCAATGCTATGCTATTCACCTGATTCAGCTTTCCCGCAAATGTCCCCCATGTATATTCCCTGTTTTCTTCAAGAAGTGGCTCTTCTGATTCCATTACGTA